GTATAAGAGACAGATATATATATATATATATATATATATATAAGAAAAAATGTGTTTTTGATGAAATGATACTTAGAGCCTGGTTCTCACGAGACCTAGTATCCGGATTGGGAGCTACCGTAATCTGATCGGTTAGCGCTAACGGTTAGCAAGCGGTTAGCAAGTTGAGCGCGTTTCTATCATCAACCAATCACTCGTACGCGTTTACAATTTCCAGTTCCTTATTGGCCAGTGATTCGATCATCATATTCTTGGTATCCGGATCAGGATTTTCTCGTTTAGACGCACGGCTGCTAACGGATAGCAGGACCTGGATCCTGCTAACCGTTAGCTGCCGTGTGAGATCATAGCCTTTGCTGCTGTGTGAGAACATAGCCTAGGTCGGTTTAATGTGTTATCCTGACTAGTACCAAATGAGCCTATAAAATCAAATCAGACCATGAGTACCTTTCATCACCAAGGAATATATAGGGTTAAACCATACTCTACCTTTACATCATCCAGTAGGCCTACCTCGGTTTTTGTTCATTAAAGAGTATATGAATACATTTACAGAATGAATTTATCATTTCAAATGATTATCTTTTTATTCAGGTGGAAGAATACAAATATCTGTGATCAAGTTTTAATGGTAAATAATAATAATTCATCATCAGCATCATCATCATCATCATCATCATCATATCATTATTATTATTATTATTATTATTATTATTATTATTATTATAATTATAATTATTATTATTATTATTAATTATTATTATTATTATTATTTCATGTGTGTGCTAATCACTTCTATTATAATTACTATTATTACTATTATTATTAATATTATTATTATTGTTATTATTATTATTATTATTATTATTATTATTATTATTATTATTATTATTACTATCATTGGCATTGTTATTTTTATTTACTATCACCATTAATATTTATTACCATTTTTTTTTTGGACATAGCAACTACCCAGAAGTATATTATTATCATACTATTTTGACTATTGTAGGATTTACAAAATACAAATGATCGTACGTTCTTAGACCTCATTGATCTGGCAATATTTGACTTTCTGATTGGTGAGTAATTTCAGATATTGAAAATGAAACACAGATAACACACACATCAGGGCGGATTTAGGGAGGGATACGTGGGAACTTCCCCCCCCCCTCGGTTTTGCCACTACCGTCTTATATTTTGTGACAGAAATACAGATTGGCATACAAATACTAAATTTCGTAACAGCATATAACTGAACACGAATCATATACCATTATTAAATATATTTTTATTTGTATAATTCTGTTACCTCTTGGCCTATATGATCCCCTTAGTTTAAAAAAAACATCCGACCGCCCCTGAACATTTTAACCAAATTAATGTTTATATTTAAATGTTAAAGGTGTTTCATATTGCGAGTACAAATAAGAATAATTTGTAATAATTAGGTTTTATCATTTCCTTTGATTCAAGTAAACTATGATCGTCATAGCTATACATTGTTAAGTCAGTTAAAAAATGAAAGCTTTGTGACCATACTGGATAATGGAAAAGGCTTTGGAAACCCTAATAATGATGATCTCACACTCTTAGCTCCAGTATATCAGTGTTGCAAGTATGTTCTTCCCTTTGATTTTGTTTTCTGTATAATGATGATGATGATGATGATAATGATGATGATGATGATGATGACTATGAAGATGAAGATGACGATGACGATGATGATGACGACGAAGATGATGATGATGATGATAATGATGATGATGATGATGATGATGATGAAGGTGGTGGCGGTGGTGGTGATGGTGATGATGATGGTGGTGATGATAAATGATGATGATGACATTGCTATAATAGCTGTGATCATGTTCATTAGATATGATAAAAATCGTGTTCATAATTATAATCATGAGAGTAATACTCTTTGTTATCATGATGATGGTTTAAATGACGATGATATGTGATTATGATGATGATCCCAAAGTTGATATCACAACAACGCATGCCCCAGATTCTCAGGATGTCCCCTAATGAGAGTGAGTTGTATTTGGTTAAATGTATATAAAACACCGTAAACATATAAAAAAAATACATACGTGATTAAACATAGACTTACACTTTTTTTCAAATTATATTTAGAGTCCGGCGGTCAACATATTACAGGCTGAAGGAGCTTAAGAACAGCAAACTCAGCACATCGATGCGCTCGTCCATGTCGCATGATGCAATTTCGCCAATTCTTAGTGAGGCATTTCTTGCGGCACTTGATCGGAGACTTATGAAAGCAATTGAAATCATACAAAAATGTTTCTTGGAAAACGGTGAAGACCGTGTGCTTATGGGCTACTAGCAATATATAAACAATTTATTAAGCAAATGTGCTAATTGGTTAGTTGCTAAATATTTTATCAACTTGTTCATACTCCAACCAATCATAAATGAAAATGTAAGCACCTTGAGAATGGCTGGAAAGTCGCGTGTGGCACTATGCTATTTATAAGCATAAGCAGCGCAAAGAGGCGAGCACGACGGATCGTATTTATTTCTACTGCCCCTTCGGGGATCAGCAGACACTTATTATAGCAATCGTCTGTGAAAATTAACTTGTAAGAGTAAATCCAGTGGAGGTGCATAATGGGATATTGTATCATAATGTAAAGGTAAAAATGAGCAGTCCTCAAAAATAGCCATACAGTATGCCTAGACCTTTTTCAAATTATATTTAGAGTCCGGCGGTCAACATATTACAGGCTGAAGGAGCTTAAGAACAGCAAACTCAGCACATCGATGCGCTCGTCCATGTCGCATGATGCAATTTCGCCAATTCTTAGTGAGGCATTTCTTGCGGCACTTGATCGGAGACTTATGAAAGCAATTGAAACCATACAAAAATGTTTCTTGGAAAACGGTGAAGACCGTGTGCTTATGGGCTACTAGCAATATATAAACAATTTATTAAGCAAATGTGCTAATTGGTTAGTTGCTAAATATTTTATCAACTTGTTCATACTCCAACCAATCATAAATGAAAATGTAAGCACCTTGAGATTGGCTGGAAAGTCGCGTGTGGCACTATGCTATTTATAAGCATAAGCAGCGCAAAGAGGCGAGCACGACGGATCGTATTTGTTTCTACTGCCCTTTCGGGGATCAGCAGACACTTATTATAGCAATCGTCTGTGAAAATTAACTTGTAAGAGTAAATCCAGTGGAGGTGCATAATGGGATATTGTATCATAATGTAAAGGTAAAAATGAGCAGTCCTCAAAAATAGCCATACAGTATGCCTAGACCTGTCATAAAAAGAACCAAAAAATCAACAATCTGTTACTTGTACAGTTACTCAAGTGAATTACCAACACAGAAACTGTGGATGAGTTATGAGTTAAAAGTAGCCACAAAAAACCTGGATGCCTACTTGTAATAATTCCCTCAGTCTGCCGTCGACCAAACAAACGACTCACTCACACAGAACAACGGATAATAAATGTGAAGTCGTCGTACGACACGTTTGATGCAGCACATACCACTGCAATATACTGTAGCAGATGCTACATACCCACTGCAATGTAAAAGATACCAAACAATGCAACAGATGCTACATATTACCATGGAAGAATTGTACAGGACAATGCTACTCAACCTCAGCAACGTGGCACATGCTACATACTCTACTGTTAATTAATATACTTCTCACACAAAATACATGCAGTAGATGCCCCGGTTAGTGCGGGGAGTTAAACAGTATCTTATGATTGTGACGGCTTTACTGGTAAAGCCATGGTGAAATTCTATTCGGAAGCAACCTAGCGATATTGAAATATCGGCAGCTTCGTTAGAAGCGTACACACCCGTTCCTGGTAATTACCACATTTATATAGTGCCTTTCCTTTAAGCGGAGGAATCACTGCGCCCGATGGTCGTCGGCCGACGCGATTCTACGAAGAACGCAACGATGCGCACAGATTGATAGTTTTTAATGACGTTCCGTTCAGACTGTCACCAACAATCAGCAGACGGTGCCGTGTCGTCTAGCAGTTAAAGGGTGCGGAGTTGGATACATCATACGACGCAGTAATTGCCCAGCTAAAGCCGGTTTTCTATGGAACGCCAAAAGGACAAATTACAAGTGGCGCAGTGCAAAAGTCAAGTGGCGCAGTGCAAAACTAAAGTGGTGCAGTGCAAAACTAAGGTGGCGCAGTGCAAACTCAAAATGCGTGTGCCACCACTTTAGTTTTGCACTGCGCCACTTGACTTTTGCACTGTGCCACTTGACTTTTGCACTGTGCCACTGACTTTTGCACTGTGCCACTTGACTTTTGCACTGCGATTGTAGTTTGTCCTTTTGGCGTGATATCGCGAAACTACAATCGCAGTGCAAAAGTCAAGTGGCACGGTGCAAAACTAATATGGTGGCACACGCATTTTGAGTTCGCACTGCGCCACTTTAGTTTTGCACTGCGCCACTTGACTTTTGCACTGCGCCGCTTGACTGTTGGCGATATTGTATGGAACGCCAATTTGGCATTAAAATGGAAATTAACTAATTTTTACTAGGTAGGCCTATATTATTATTATTATTATTATTATTCATATCCCCCAATAAGGAACCTCGGCCCGCGTCGGGCAAATTCTTGTGCCACCCCTCAAACTATATTTAGGCAAAGATAAACTAAAACAATAATTACATACACATTCGCAAAAGTATAGTGTAGCCCAAGAGAATGAATTTTTTCATCTTTTATTGAATGTTCTTCTGGAAATTAAATCCCACTTTAGTAGTATGTTCTATCTCCTTTTTAAATCGCCATTTACACATGTAATTAATTAGGATCCTATTCCTCAATCATCTACATCAACAATTGGATACTGAAATACACAGGTTTAATATTTAATACTAATGAAGTTAAATGAGGATGTGATATTATGAGTGTTGGTACAGTACCGTACGTATAGTTTTGTGTCCATTCACCTTGGTCATTAAATGTCTATGTCTATAGAATAAACTTGATATTTTTCATGACGGAATACCGTACGTCTCGTATTTTTCTGTATTCTTATTTTTATTTATTTATTTATTGCCATTTTTCTGCTGTTTTGATAGGCCTACATTTAAACCCATACGCAACCGCCTTGTTGCTGCTATGTATGTTTGTTGTGAAGAACATTGAAGTTTGAATAAATAGAGCTCAAATAATAAAGTGTTATTCGTATAACTAAAAAACGCACCCACAAAGTATATCGTTGCAGCAAAGTGTCACTGCACAGTGAGCCTAAATCAAGCCTGCTTATATTTTCAACTTCTTTGGATTTATTGGGCTTCTTTTTCTATTAAAATAATGTTACATTCGATTTATTTTTCTATAAATATTCATTTTTGGGCCTCTACTTGTTTTCTTTACATGGCTTATCCTATTAATCAGAGTTGTTTGTTGCACTTTTGCCTTTCTTTTCTTGTTTTAATATAAGTGAGCCTACACACTGCAATGCAGTCCAAATAAAGCTGAGGATATTAAAAAAAGAATGGAATCACCAGCCTTCGTGAATTTTGTAGGCATAGGGTGGAGATAGGTACAGAATTATGTGTTCTTGATATTTTTATTCATTTATTTTATTTAGTTTAATTTTGATGCGAAAATTGGCGTTCCATACAATATCGTCTAAAGTAAAGTGGCGCAGTGCAAAAGTCAAGTGGCGCAGTGCAGAAGTCAAGTGGCACAGTGCAAAAATCAAGTAGCAGCACACGCATTTGGATTTGCACTGCGCCACCTTCGTTTTGCACTGTGCCACTTTAGTTTTGCACTGCGCCACTTTTGCACTGCGCCACTTTCGTTTTGCACTGCCATTGTTGTTTGTCCTTTTCGCGATATCACGCCAAAAGGACGAACTACAATCGCGTTGCAAGTAGCACAGTGCAAAACTAAAGTGGCACAGTGCAAAATTCAAGTAGCAGCACACGCATTTGGATTTGCATTGCGCCACTTTCGTTTTGCACTGCGCCACTTTATTTTTGCACTGTGCCACTTTAGTTTTGCACTGTGCCACTTTAGTTTTGCTCTGTGCCACTTGACTTTTGCACTGCGCCACTTGTAATTTGTCCTTTTGGCGTTCCATAGCTTTACTAGGCGAATTTGTTCGCGCGAATCGAAACTGTCGGTTTATACGCATGCGCATTCACATTTCTATCGGGTTTTATGCGAAGCGAAAAAATGCGCAGCCAATCAGAGCTCAGGAAGCGAACCGACGCTTTGATTCGCGAGAATAAATTGGCCTAGTGGAAAACCGGCTTTAAGGCCTGTTTATACTTCAACGATAACGATAAAAATAAATCGTTATAGAATCGTCCTAGTGTAAAAACTTCTCTTATTTCTTTTTGTTTTCTATATGAACAATCGCTTTTTAGCATTTTTATCGTTATCGTTGAAGTGTAAACAGGCCTTTACGCTACTAAGCGGCGCGGTTTTTATTCATGGTCATTGGGTCCACGTGCTTAATCGTAAACTGATTAAATGAATACTGTCACCCGGGCTGTTACCACAGCAAAAAAGTTTCAATATGGACATTCGAAAATAGTGCGAAGTAAGTATAGTCCCCTCTATAGTTTTCATGCTTATTATTTTGAGTTTTCAATGAATGGGAAAGTGCACAGATGTTACTTTACCCAGGGATATTTAAACTTATACGGTTAGTGAGGTAACTCTATACCGATTAATTTTGGTGTTGACTACTTTGTGGACGTAAATATGAAAGTGATGATGTGTTTCTGTCATAAGAAGGTATTAAGGGTTATTTTCGCATTGGTAATATTCAATAGCACTGCAAGTCTAATTTGCTATGTTTTTGTAACTAGTAGTGTTAAGGACGAACCTAGCCCTCTTACTAATCATAGACACATCTACCAATATAGTAAAGGAAGGCAGCAAGATAACAATTCAAGGTAAGTGTAACAGCAGGGAGGACTCAGGTAAAGGTTTTCCAAAATTGTGTCTAGTGTTAGAGATGGCCCAGTCGAGTGTGAAAATAATATATATATGCCTATATATATATGCCTATATATATGCCTATATATATATATATATAATTGCATGCAGACAAGACAGTTATGCATATTCTATTAAGAATACCACAATAATTTTCAAACTCAATACCATATAGGCAAGGCTTAGTGGATTTTATTATCAAAACACGGTATAAAACAACATGTTTCAGCAAATACTTCGCCATCTTCAGTGAAACAATTGCTAACATGCAATCTACGTTTAAAAGGGTGAACAACTGTGAAGCATTGTATTTTAAATAAATGGGAATTGAACCATAGCTATTTGAACAGATATCATGACATTGCATTTTTAAGGAATCGATTTGACCGTAATTGTAAAGAAGAAAGAATGGCATGAATAAAAATGATTACGTAGTAATGAACATCAGAATGACGAAGTTAAATTAACATGTAAAAGTTCAATGCTTGTTGAGAGAGGGCGTGACCCATTTGATATGCAACGTCTCCTTGATTTTTCTCTGGCTGGCTGTTGAAGCGGAACACAGTATACGAAAGCAATCCTTGTTGCATGAGGCTTTACATTGGGATGAGCTTTTAAGATGTTTAAAAATGTGCAAGTTCATCCTGTCCGTTGTCATGTATTCGTAACGCGCGTTTTTTTTTTTTCATATTTCTAATTTTAAATTAAGAAAAAACTAATTTGATACTTAAATCATTACAGAACTGTTTCGTTAACTAATTTATCTTATGTGAAATAACTTTAGAAAATTGACCAGTGTAAGGCAAATACTACATAAAAATGTTTACAAAGTGAAATACCCCAGTGGGAATAAATAGGCCCTATAACAAAAGATCTACGCTGGAATAATCATGTTGTTATGCTTACATCAAAAGCCAACAACACTCTTAACTTCCAAAGGCGAAATATCAACATCAACAATATAAACCTGAAAGACCTTGCGTATAAAATCATTTTGTGCATCCACACTTCTTCGAGTATACGCAATCATTTGGGACCCACACTCAAGCCTGCTCTCCAGGCAGATTCAGAAGGTACAAAGAAGAGCTAGCTAGATTTGTTAACAATTATAAGCAGTTATCAAGTGTAGTGCGAGAGTGTGAAATGTTAATAGGGCTGGAATGGGAAAATCTGGAAAATAGGAGAACTGCTCCTACCGTATTCCTTCTTCAACGCAAGATTACTTCCAACTAATCATTTTATCATAAGACTGCAGCTGACAGGAACAAATTACATGAGCTTTTATCTGTCTCTAGCTTCAAGGAACTTAATCACTAAGAAACTCTTAAGGAGTAGAATTGAGGCCCAACTAAATCAAGTATTACCAACCAATTACAAATACTTTATTTATTTATTTCCGTACATTTATTACCACTCGAGTGCCTGAGAGTGAGCTGGCTGGTCTCTGCTTCTTATACATTGCTGGTGTACGGCACAGTGGTAAACAGACTTCTGCACAGACAAATTATTAACTGTTTATTTTCAAGGTCAACCTAGGGTAGTTATAAATTTATAATAAAAGTTGTGAATGCTGCACAAACTGGTAAAGGTATTATATAAACACAACGCTGCATTGCTTCGTCGCCTACAGTACTTTAGTTTTTTAATATCTCTTTTCGACCTTACCAACAATAATCAAAGGGAGGTGCTAAGCGGAAAGTCCATTACATCACACTCATAATAGCATAATGGGGATTATAAAATAGGTACAGTAATACAGTAATTTGTTGTAGATGAATTACTGATTGGATGGATCAAATTAATCAGCATTTCTTTCTAAAAATTTTAATTGAAAAATGTATACAAATTTCAGCAAATCTTTTAATATACCTAAGTTACTTCGTTACGTCTGGGCTGATTAGGGAGCGATGGGACACAGCAATTATAAAAAATTATGATTGATGATGATGAGGATGACGCTAATGAAGGGAGGGGGAACCCTCAATGATTAAGTGAGGGGCGCCACCTCGCAAAATAAGGTGTTATGAGGTGATTTTTTTTAATTTTTATCACTTGAGTGTTATTTTGTTGCTTCGAACATTTTCAATGGGGGAGGGGGAGGCACTGAACTTCAGGAAAGTGAGAGGCGCTAGCGTACGAATACTTGATAGAAAGTGGCTGATATATTTAATCGTTTTGTTTTGGGTTTTTTTTTACACCATATTTATAAAGGGTGACCCTTCCAGCGTATCCTAGAAGGTCGGCTG